GAAAAAAAGTAAACATATTTCATACTTGGTATAATTCATTTCTTGCTATCATATGTTTCCGTGTATATGCAATTGGAAGACGTTATGTGCTCATATTTTGCATATGATTGCTGTTGTGTAATGGGTAATGGGACTACTATGACGAAATTCATTTTGAGGTCATCTTCTCAAAATATTGAGAAAGCTTCCATACTAAAAGTTTCTTCAAAGATATGCATTTTGGTTGAAGAAAAGGCTCTGATGTTGCTGTGTATCAAGGACGCTCACTCACTTGTATCATCCTTGTATTTTCATTGTTATAAAAGTCAGAAATGTCATTCTGCACACTTGTAACATTCTTGTAATCTTCATTCTGTATTTGTATTTCCGTCCTTGTAACAAGGGAGACTAGCTTTCATTTTCTGCTGTAATTTGTGTATCGTGTATCTTTAATGGATTAGAAATTGATAGAAGGTTGACATTAGTTTTTCCTTTGAAAATTAACTGCAGTTTTGCTTTGATGTAACTTTTAGAGAATATTGATTGCAATACAAGTCTTTGCAGATGTTGGAATTTATTTGTCTTGAATGCCTTAGTTTTTTTTTTTTTTTTTTTGTAGGAGGTTGTTTGTATTCAGGTTTTACTTAAATATGTTATGTGACAGATTTATTGCAGGTGTTATATAGATCCTATGCAATTTAGTAATGGAAAATGTAGTAATATCATTAGATAGATGCGATTCACAATCACTAATGGGAAATGAGCAATATCAATTTTCAATTTTTAGTTGAAGTTTTCAATTGTAAGCACTTAAACCATAATTTTTAATTTTATTCCAAAAGTTTAAGGAAAAAGAAAAGTATGTGTAACAAAAATTTCAAAACATATAAAAAAGGGTAAAGTGCATTAAACCCCCTTGAACTATTGGTCATTTGCAAGAAACCCCCCTGAACTACAAAAAACCCCCCTGAACTATGATTTTGTTGCACTTTACCCCCCTGAACTATGATTTTGTTGCAATTTACCCCATGACATCAGCTTCCGGCACCGAAAATTTTGAAAGACCAGTTTACCCTTATAACACATTGTGTCGTTTTTACTTATACACTTCTTACATTTTTTTTTTTTTTTTTTTTTTTCCTACCAAAAGATGAGAGAGAAAGAGAAGAAACTAAAGAAATCCGAGGTCGGCGGGATGGCTCGGTCTCGGATGATGGCGGCTTGTGCGCGGAGGACTCGGCTGTGATAAGAGCTCGGTTGACTCGGCCGTGAACTGTGGAGGCGATGGCGAGCTCAAGGGGGCTCGGCGGTGAATTGTTGACGACTGTGTGCTCGAAACACGGACGACGGTGTGCTCGGCTATGGAGATGGCGGAATGGGCCGGTAAGCTTGGAATGGACCAGTGAGCAAGGTGAGCTGAACGGCGGGCAAGGCGGTGATTACGATGGGCTGATGCAACGATACAGAGAAGTGTGATATATATGGCCGACGGATTTGGCAGGTGGTGCAACGGCGATGATGGAGTTATGACAGGAGACCCACCGATCCCAGCAACAGATTCCTTGGCTTATCCAAACACTCCTCAGATAACATCTACCACTTCGATCCCAGCCACAAATTCATCGGCTTCATCGTCCCTTTCAGTCAATTAATTCGTGTGGATGGGGTAAATTGCAAAAAATATATAATTCAGAGGGGTTTCTTGCACATACCTCAATAGTTCAGTGGTTTTTTTTGCAACTTTTATAGTTCAGGAGGGTTTCTTGCTCATACCCCAATAGTTCAGAGGTTTTTTTTGCAACTTTTATAATTCATGGGGGTTTCTTGCACATACCCCAATAGTTCAGGGGGGTTTAATGCACTTTACCCTATAAAAAATATACTCTTATATATAAATATAATGTATTAATATATTTTTAATTTTTAAAAACAAATTAAAAACACTATTTACCAAATATGTTTCTTATTTTTGTTTCAGCAATTTTGGCAACAGTTTGACTCTACCAAACATGTTTTGTTTTTAAATTTTTGGAAATAAAAGACCTTGTCAAACATGTTTTGTTTTTAAATTTCTTGAAATAAAAGACCTAGCTAAACATATTATACATGTTTCTGTTTCTGAAATTTTCACTCCAAATTTTCGTCGCCAAACATGTTTCCGTTTTCAACTCAAAACACTTCCAAACAAAACACTTATTTTGTTTTAGACCAAAACAAAATGCCAAAAACACAACGGCCTAAGTGTTCACGTATTAATAATATTCACAAACTAGTGATAGTCAAGACAATGATCAAAACATATATGCTAGTCACGAGAACCTAAGTAAATTTTGCGAAAATATAAAATAAAAACTAAAATTAGAAATTAAAATTAGTCAAAACATATGCTATTTTGGTTAAATTTTATTATTAAATATGATATCTAAATGAATAATGACAGGGAGATCGAAGAATTAATTCTTAATAAATATCAAATTATTTTTATCTACCTTATCTATTTAAATATTTTTTAAAAAATAATTATTTAACATTTAATAAAAATAACTAATCACGTCAACTTCCACGTTAATTCAAGAAATTTTTTTCGATTCCCCAATTACTCTATCTAAATATGCGTATTTTATTAATAATAAATAATTAAAGCGCCATTACAACGACAAGTCCAACCGACCCACCATAATAATGACTCGTAAGTCAATGAATACATTCAATGACGTATAAAGTCAAATTATTTTATTCACTCAGAAAAAGAACCCACGTTACTATGCACCTGGCAACTCGGAGAACATTCAAGTCCATCATGAAAAGGATGGATACCTGTTTTTAATATTTTTATAATAGTATTGAATTGATTGATCATATGAATGGTGCACACTTATCTACACTGTTTCAACACGAGGACACTCGTTTCATTTTTATTGGAACAAGTTTGAATGAGGAGGGTAATAAAAAAAAATATCAAGATAACAAGAAGAAACGGGGAGAGAGACCCATTAATTTTGTGTAAAGCTTTTCTTTATAAAATAGGGTGCCCAACATCCTAACTTTTTCTACACTTTTTAAATTTTAACTTTTTTGGGATAAGGGTGCCCAACTCCTACCTTATTAAATTTTTTTTTTACCTACTCTTTGTCTAAAATGCTTGGATAGTTTAAGTTCAAGAACGTTCGAGAGAGCAATTATTTTGTATAAATAATGTTAAATATAAGATTTTTATCCAGTGTATCTCCCTCAAATTTTTTTTTAAAAATTATACTGAATAATGATCTTTTGAATCTCAATTAAATTATAATGAGATTGACAAATGTAAAGATCTAGTCCAATAATTGCAATAAAATACGGTGTAATTAAGTGAAAGTTAAAGATAAATTTTTATTTGAGAAAATTATGAGTTATGACAACTTTTGAAATATGTAAAAAGTTGAATGAATCGTTTAATATATTTTTTATTCTATTAGTTAAATGTGGAGTTTTTATGACTATCGCGATGAAACTCTTTTAGAAGCATTATTCTTCTTATGTTATTTTTAAGTTACAAAGAAGAATTACAAAAATAAATAAAAATATAAAGAATAAAAAGTTAAACAAAAATTGAAAGAATATAAAGCTTTACAAGGGAGGATTACAAAGAAGTGGGATTGTAGGACTTATTTGTAACTTCTCTCAACTAACCAACGCATTATAAATGGGTCAATGACTCAGTAGTATTAGATTCATACTTTTCGAAAAAATCTTAAATTCAAAATTAGTGAATTCAAACCTTTCAATAATAATAATAATAATAATAACAACCACGACTATTCATAAAGGTTTAATTTTAGCCACCCAATCTTAGAACAATCTATTCATAATTGTTCCTCTCTAAGGTTTAATTTTAGCCACCCAATCTTAGAACAATCTTTTCATAATTGTTCCTTTCTAAGGTTTGAATTTAGCCACACAATCTATTCATAATTGTTCCTCTCATAAAGTTTTGATTTTAGCCACCAAATCCGTTCATAATTGCATGTCCCTCTCATAAAGGTTTAATTTTAGCCACCCAATCTTCCCATGAATTCTTTATGATTATATAAAACCAATTTCTTCAGATTTTATTTTTTAATTAAAAAATGTTATTTGCATTCCAAAAAAAGTATTTTCACACTTCATTTTCTATTATTCATACCAAACGGATTAAAGAAAGAAATAATTGTCCTCAAAACCATTTTGGTAAATATAAATTGTCACAAAAATATATACTTTTTAACACTATTTAACAGGGGTGACAATGTCATTTCATTTGGGGTGCATTACTAATTAAAAGACCCCTTGAATCAAATTTCATGCGAAATTTAATTAGATTGTTATTGTTTTATTTGCAAAATGTCTATTATACCATTTTGGTATTTTATTAATTATTATTTAAAAAAAGAAAAGAAAATATGGTCATTTACACATTGCCATCAAGAATAATTTAACATGATGAGATTGTTTGCAGCTTTCAAGTATAGCAAGGGGTCGTTTGACGTAAATTAAATATGGCAAAAGGTTAGATGCAGAAGTCAAATAATATAATAATTTTTTATTATTATTTTATTTACTAATTGATAAAAGTGGAAAATTCTGATTCCTTAATTTTGTCCCTTAAAAAAGGAAAAAGTACAGAAAAAGTGTGAATTTAATATATTGGCCTTTACTTGAGAATTTGGCATCAATCACATGTAAAAGTGCCCTTGGACTTGAATTTCCCTGCAAAAATTGCATTTTTTTTTTGGTGCATCTCTTTTTCTAGTAATTTAAATATTCACCTTAATACCGTAGATCGCAATACACCAGATGATAATACTTTTTTAATTAAAAAATTTGGGACACGCATTGGACACGTGTACATGTATCTGGAAAGTGCTATTAAAGGTTGTTTTTACGCTACCAGTGACCGAGCTGGCATTCCCACCGACCTCTCCGAGTCCGACACGTGTCACTCCGCTTTGATCCCGCAATTCTTCCCAACAACTGTTACACATGGACATATAACTAACTGTATTTCCAGATGGATTCCTACAATTTGCGTGATTTTTACAATCGGCGAATTCCAGTTCCGTCGGTTCTTCTAGGGTTTCCTCTCCCTTCTAATCAATTCCATTCTCTCTCTCGTCCCCCTCTCTCTCTAGATGTGAAGTCGAAGCAAAGGCTTAGCAATTGCATCAGAGTCTTAACGCAATCAACTTCTTGTTAAGATCATATATACATACATATACATATCCTCTTTTGTTCGTTTCGACTCGTAACCTTCAATCAATCTCCAATTCAAACAGGTATTATTTTTCTACAATTCTATTGTTTATTATTGTTTGAATTCATGAGATCAGTGTTTGTGACTGTCTTTTATTCGAGATCGATTGTCGATTGTTTACTGAAAGTATATATTCTTTATACATCACACACACACATTTATTCATATAATGTACGGTGTATACGGTGTGTACGTAACTTCGATTTTTTGCAATTCCTTTAACAATTTGACATTATGTGGTTTCTTTTTCACTTCAGTAATCAGTATGTTGCTCTGAGTCAATATTTATTTATGTTTTGGTGCATCATATTTCTTTTTACTCCGTGGTTGCTACTTTGGCAATTGGCATATACCCAATTCAGTAATTTTTTAGCCCAAGAATATGTTGGGACGTAAGAATTGTTTGTACAAAGTGTTGTGGAAGACTTGGAATCCATGTCTTTTTAATTGTTTGAAGATGCTTAAAATTTTATGTTTGGTTGCCAAGAAAACTGGCTAAGGTTAGTAGGTGCTATAATGGAAACTCAGTTCCATAAAAATGATTTTTTAAAGGACATAATTTTTTAGTTTATTAATTTTCTTTTCAGTAGTTAAAAAAACACTTAAATCCAGCGAATGTTGTCCTGGAACAATTCGTAGTGTTTTGGAATTTTATGCTAATTCCTTCCATTTCCAAGATAATTTTTAGTATTGTGCAAGTCCTTGAGTGGTAGTAATATGTGATAAATCTGTACAAAGTGTACTTGGTGTATTGTTGAATATGATTGATGGTTTACTCAGAATTAGGAATTCTCCATTGTCGTGATTTTTTATGTAAAGTGAACTTGATCTTAAATGTTTATGGATTTTTATTTTTTATATCCTGCTCTTAAATTATTGTACAGTACATTGGTTGGTGTATGGATTTTTATTATATATATCCTGCTCTTAAATTATTGTACAGTACATTGGTTGGTGTAAGCGTAAAAGTTTTTTATATGTTTGGATAGAAGTTTAGACTTGGAACATAGAAAAGGTTTTTTTGTTTGTTTCCTTATAGAGTTATTTTGACATTTTATTTCATCTCCATAAAAATGATTTTTTAAAGGACATAATTTTTTAGTTTATTATTTTTCTTTTCAGTAGTTAAAAAAATGTTGTCCTGGAACAATTCGTAGTGTTTTGGAATTTTATGCTAATTCCTTCCATTTCCAAGATAATTTTTAGTATTGTGCAAGTCCTTGAGTGGTAGTAGTATGTGATAAATCTGTACAAGGTGTACTTGGTGTATTGTTGAATATGATTGATGGTTTACTCAGAATTAGGAATTCTCCATTGTCGTGATTTTTTATGTAAAGTGAACTTGATCTTAAATGTTTATGGATTTTTATTTTTTATATCCTGCTCTTAAATTATTGTACAGTACATTGGTTGGTGTAAGCGTAAAAGTTTTTTATATGTTTGTATAGAAGTTTAGACTTGAACATAGAAAAAGTTTTTTTGTTTGTTTCCTTATAGAGTTATTTTGAGATTTTATTTCATCATATTCTTAATAATTTTTCCCTTTCCTGATAATGAAGAAAATAAATGCATTGCATTTGTTTGACATATGGTTCATATTATGTTAACACAGTTGTCTTTACAATTTTGTTTCACTATTCACTGATTTGTCACCTTTGCAGCTACTGAATCAGTGCCAGAAAAGAGCCACCATAGTGCAATACTGTTATTTATTTATTTTTATCAAAACCTTTTACATATGCGCCTCCACATTATTCTTGGGTAATGAGACTTCTGTATATAGTGGACATAGTTAGCAGAGATGTACTTATCTGCTCTCTTAACTTCGGCTGGCATCAATATAGCCATTAGTGTTGTGCTTTTGTCATTGTATTCCATTTTGAGGAAACAACCGAGCAATGTAAATGTGTACTTCGGACAGAGGCTTGCTCAGGAACGATCAAAAGACCATGGCCATTTCTCCTTTGACAGATTTGTTCCTTCCCCCAGTTGGATGGTCAAGGCCTGGGAAACATCTGAACAAGAACTATTGGCTAGTGGGGGCTTGGATGCAGTGGTTTTTCTCAGGATGATTGTTTTTAGGTAATAATATCTTGCCTTGAAAACAATGGAAGTTTATACTTTGGTACCTTAGCGTCTGCTTGATAAGTTATATGCTGAATCTCATTCTTAGTTTGGTTGGTGAAAGAAAAGTTTGAAATAGTTTATCTAATATGATATATCGAAAATTTTATGTCATTCTATTTTCTTTAGGCAGAGTACTTTAGTATTTTGTTTTGCATAAGCTATTATCTAGTGCTTAATTTTAAGTTTTACCACAATTTTATTCGTCATGTTTAAATGACCTAACCACAAATCAGTTTTTACTGAAAACCCTTGGCAGGAATTTTTATTTATTTTTTGGTTGGATAGTGACAAATTTTTTTCTTGTCTATCATGTGATACACTTGACATAGATTTCAGTATCCCCAGGACTTCTCATCTCCCAAAGCCAACTTACCATATTATGGAGTATATGGGGTTAGTTGAGATGTTCTTGTAGATGAAACTGTTCTTTGGAAGCCCACCCTGGAAATGTATTTTAGATAGCATAGCAGACAAATAAGTTATTGTTTTGTAATACCCTTATACCTTAATTTTCTAAAAGTAATGTTTACTTTGTTCAAACTTTTTCTTCTCATTCCAAACCCTAACTTATTCCCAGCGAGTTACGCCCGGGGGGGGGGGGGGGGGGGGGGGATAAAATGAAATTTAGCAGTCAGGTTTTTGTACTTAGTGGAATAAATATTGTGTCCTTGTTGATAGGAACAGCGGAAGCAGAAGAAACATTGAGATCCGACAAAGGCAAATAGAGTAATCACACACAAAACAGAAGATTTACGTGGTTCACCCAAAATTAGAGTTACATCTACAGATGAGAAGAGAGATGTAGAGATATTACAACAATAGAGAATTTGTAACACCCGACCATACACACAAACTCCCTAAAGAGTTTTTTGTGTACTCTGTGAGACTCCCTCTTGTCATTAGTGTTAACTCTACCAAACCCGTAACTCTCAGTAGAAATATAAAAAGAAGAAAAAAAGAGAGAATTGTGTAAAGGAATGAATAAGATAATCACTCATTCACAGCTCTAGTATTTATAGATAAAAAAGAACACATGCTTATATTACAAGAAAGGAAATTAAACCAAATCTAAATCAAAACATAGCATATTCTATAGCATAATCATATATTTGCTAATACGGCAAGTCATTCCATAAATCGTGACTATCATATTTGCTAACATTTTCCCTTAAGTTGGTGTGTGGATATCTGAAACGCCTAATACAATCTTACTGACGCCCTTTGTAAGAATGTGTGCAAGCTGCTTAGAGCTTGTAACAAATGGAGTGCAAATCCCAGACCATAAACAACCAATCATGTCTCCTCATATCGTAAATAACCAATAATGTCTCATCAGACCATTTTGCTTCATACACATGTTTAAAACATGTTGATGGAAGAATCAACAATGTCTTATCAGACCATTCTCCTTCATACACATGTTTAAACAATGTAGATGAAAGAATCAACAATGTCTCCTCAGACCATAAAAAAAAACAATTTTGTCTTCTCAGACCATTTCTGAATAGGTAGTGCCAAACTCGCAATGCTCCTCATTAAGGTCGGACCACCCTGGGCGATGTCACCTTAGACCACTCCCGAATGGGTGGTGCCGAACTCGTTACGCCCTCATTGCAGTCGGACCACCCTGGCTTTGATACCAATTAGAAATATAAAAAGAAGAAAAAAGGAGAGAATTGTGTAAATGCTTGAATAAGATAATCACTCACTCACAGCTTTAGTATTTATAGATAAAAAGAGTACATGCCCGTATTACAAGAAAGGAAATTAAATCAAATCACAACATATTCTATAGCATATTTTATGGCATATTCTATAGCATAATCAAATCTCTGCTAATACGGTAAGTCATTCCATAAATCGTGACTATCATATCTGCTAACACTCTCTCTACCCATGAATTTCCTGATAAGGCTACATCTCTCTCCTCATAATTTTAATAACTTAGGTGAGAGTCCAAAACTCAATTCCTCATTGGACAACGATTACAATTACGTAGAGACCAAGTATTGTCTACCAAGAAAATACCTAATAAAACACAACTCTAAAATAGAAACCTAATAACGATAGAATTTGAGACGGAATTCCTAACAATCTCCACCTTGCCTAAAATTCCATCGCGTCAATCATCGCTTCCCACAACATTGACCAGGACAATTCATTGTAGCTTCAATCTTGAACACAAATCGGATCACCATTCAGGGACTTCAACCCACAGAGTGTTCTTATGAACTCTTTACTCTTCGGAATGCATGCCAGGATGTCATGATCCTCTTGTAAAAATGTCCCCACTGTACGTTGCTCGGTTAGTCAGACTTTCAAGGCTCCACCTTAACTACCGAGCTCCATGCCTTGTAATCCATAACGATTGTATCGTGACCAAACAAGCTGATTGATTTACTCCACCCGCATCTGAGACCTGTTGCAACACCTGTTAAGACTCCTTGTGTTTTCGGCATCTTCTTCACATAAAGGCTGAACATCGCTAGATGAACCATTGACTCTGATACCACTTGTTGGCTGCACAACGGAAGCAAAACAATTACAACCAACAAGAAAAAAATCAATCACAAACCACAACTCAAGATGTACATGGTTTACTGTAAATCTGGGCTACATCCACGGATGAGGAGATATTCATTATACTGATGGGGAGATATTACAAAAGTAGAGAATTTCTAACACCGAACTGTGTACACCATCTCCTACCCTAGAGTTCTTTTTTGTTTACTCTTGCTCCAGGGTATGGAATTCCTGAGCCTTACACCGTGTACCATTTCACGAGACTCCCACCGTTAGTTCTCTCTCTGCCATTTTAGTAAACTCCCTCCACCTATCTTGCACCACAACTCCCTCATGAGGCTGCCCTCTACAGGCTACATGTCTATCCACTCATACCTCCCAACAATGCCCTAGGTATCTATTTATAGAGAGTTCTACACCCAATTCCTTGGTGGACAAGGATTCCAATTTCTTAGCAGCCAATACTTGCCTTACAAGAAATTCCTTAGAGGCCAAGGCTTGTCTTACAAAAAATTTCCTATAAAATATGACTTTAAAATGGAAACCTAATTATAATAGAATTTGAGACACAAATCATAACTGCCCTTTGGATAGATATGCTGTGGTTTGCTCTCTCATCATTCACTCATAGTGGTTTAGATTTTGACGGCATGATATAGTGGTAAATATTACTAACTAAACCCATACTCAAATTGTTGCTTGAAATTTCTCCTGTTGATTTTATTGAATTGAATATGAATAATTATCACTGGTAGTCATGGCATTGATGCTTGGTGATGGAATTGATTTGAGAGGGGGTGGGGGGAGCTGTAGTAGTGTTGGTGCCTTGGTAGTGGTGTTACGAATATTAAGACCCATGGCTGAGTTATGTATGTGATGTTAGCTATGGTAGTTGAGATGGTGATTGTAGTTGAGGTGGTTCTGAATGGGATCATTGAGAAATAAATGGTGCTGTTGCAAAAGTGAGAAAGTAGTAACGGAAGAAGAAATTCTAAGAAAGAGATCAACAGGAGGCAAAATAATGAAAAAAAAGAAAGAAAGAAAAATCAAGAAACGGAGGGGTTGTTTTATGAAAATTTCATAGTTTTGATGGTAGGCGATGACAAATGCAACTGAACTTTAAGGGAAAAAAATTCTTATGAAACATGTTTGTGTGTTGGAAATTACTGTAATAAAGAATTTGTTTTTATGAGTCTATATCTTTGGTCGCTTTGACAAGGCTTTTCAAGACGCAGGAAAAGATAGGTTGACGATGATGAAGTCGCATTGCTGATGACATTGGTCAGTTCCATTACACCAAATCACATTGCATGCAAAGTTAAAGTGTTGATTGTAGATGTTGTGTTCAGATACAACCTCCAAGATCCTGCAATCAATAGAAAGGAATTACATAAGCAAGTAAAAGAATTCAAGATTTACATGGTTCGGCAAGTTATCTACATTCGCAGAGGAATGGAGATAAAATTCACTAACAGAAAACTTAAATGTCCACAATAGCACTAATCACTCAAAATGCATTCTCAAGCCTCTCAAAAACTCTATTAATGCTCAACTCTCCGACCTTAAGTCTCCTCTTTAGAATTCCATGCTGACAAGGAATACAAACCTTTGTCCTCGTTGGTCATGGATTGCAGTTTTTAAGAGCCTAAGCATATCACAACATCCTAACAAAGTGAAACTCTAAAGTAAAAGGAATTTGAAACATATCACAACAAATCTTGAATTTGTCTCAAAATATGTCAAACAAACTTGAAGATTTTGTGGATGTCTCCACCTTGGTTTTTGTGCCACTTTGTTGATCTTAGGCGTTGTGTTCAGATTTCATACTTCACCTTTTAAGATCCTGCAATACAATGATTTATTGAAATTTAATTCACTAAAAGAAAATTAAAAAAAGGTGTTTACAAGAGCATTTAATCACTCAAACTATGCTCTTAACCATCTCAAAGACTCTTAACTCTTGAAGAAGACTTGTCTCTCGATTTGTAGCCTATCTCTATTTCTATAGGTTCTAACTTTATTCCTTGTTGGAAAAAGGAACACAAACATTAATTTGTTGTTTTAAGAAAAACAATTTCTTAAAGCACAAGTATATCTCAACTATAAGTGAGACCTTAGAGGACGTAGGATTTAGGTTGATTAATGGATTGTTAGATTGGACCACCCTTGACCTAGTTTCTTTACTTGCTGAATTGAGTTTCGATTTTAAAGAATAATTATGTAGTTTAAAAATGATTCCAGAACATGGGATTGGGAAATGGCATCATAAAATGAGTGAGTTCTGGTACTTAGAAGGTTTGTTACATGGACTTTCCTATTTCCTTCACGTGCCCGTGTCGACAAGACATGGTATGGGTATGGATACAGGAGGTTCAACACGCGAAATCAGTCTCTCGGATCCTTCACGTGACATGATTGAAGGAGGAGAAAAAACTCAAATTTAAAATCAGAAATTGTTTCCTATCTATGAGATAGATGAAAAACCTTTTGTTTTACCACATTCCATTTAATTTGAGTATATTCTTATAAAACAACATAAAACATTACAGTTTAACTAAATATATAATGCATTTAAATGTGTCGTAATCTTCACTTTTCCTTGTCCAACTTTTGGACACATATCCCTGTATTCTAAGATTTGGGATTCGAATTAAATGCATAGTGGTCCTTAATTTAATGACAATAGTAAGGTCAACTGCACATCAATAATATTATAAAATCATTTGGTGTGCTGGGCTAAACAAATTTAAATTTATTGTTTGAAGAATGAGAAAAGTGAACCGTCCAATTATTAGGAAACAGAACCGGAGTAAACTGATTTACTTGTCTTTCGTTTGCCTTGCTATCACCTTTGTTGTCGGTGTGGTAGGTTAGTGTATGCATTCTCCTGAAGAAGTTCATTGGAAAGCTAGCCACATTTTTTCAGGTATATCTGAGTTCTTAAGGATAGAATCTTCTTTTGAAACTGATTCTAGATCTGCTATTGCTGATTGGCTTGGTGATGAAGTCTTCGTTGAGAACTAATTTTGGATATTTTAATATTGTATGGTGATCTTCTGATATGTGGAGGGGAAATGTGTTGTGGCGCAATCTAGTGCTAAAATGAGATTTAGGGCTCATACAATTTTGTAAGATGATTGAGGTTCATTCTTAATTCATTTAACTGTCTTCATTGTGTTAGTTTTTGAAAGCAATTTCTGGTAATTAAGCAGTAAGCGGAGCTTGTTAAACACAGGGTATATTGATTTGAGGTATATCTTAATTTATTTAACTGTCTTCATTGTGTTAGTTTTTTAAAGCAATTTCTGGTATTAAGCAGTAAAGTGGAGCTTGTTAAACACAGGGTATATTGATTTGAGGTATATCTTTGTCTTGTTAGGAAATGGAAACACTCTACTTGTAATATCCTTAAAGGCATTGGCATATATTAAAGTTCTAAAGAATCAAAAATCTATTTTTATGCCAGCCTTTCATTAGTTTTCCTTGTATTCTTCAGTTTTTCAACTTATTTTTCTTCAAATAACGGTAAGAATTTTCCAAATCATCCATGAGTTTAGGAAGCAGACCTTTTAGAGAACCCAAGTAATTGGGACCAAAGTCTTTCTTAAGTTATGTGGTGGGTGATCCTATCATTTTAATCCTTTTAGAACTCCAAAATTTTACACTCGTGAGATGCCCTTTGCTAATTGTGTGTGTATATATATATATATATATTTTGACATTCTGAGGATACTTCTGAGCTTGATGAGGTTTTAGGGCGGGCTGGGTGTTTGTTCGTTTCAATTTAACTTGTATCCTTTTAAAAACATCTGCATGCTTTATGACTCTTTTTAATTTCATAATTAATTTATTGATGGCATAACATAGACAAACACTCTTCTTTGGGGTTGGGGCAGGGGGGTTTGATACTCTCCTTACCCTTTTTACCATATAGATTTATGATTTATGATTATCCTTTCTACCATGATCCGTCCCAACCCGTGTAGATATTGTCAGCTTTTCATACTCTCCTATTGGTGCACGGTTTCCCTCAAAACGGATCTAAATAGTTGAGGGGTGTCCACACATAAAAACCTTAGCAACTTCTTCGCTCAAGGCGATGTAGAACGCCACAATCACCAGCGTCCCCGTTGGCCTGACTGCATGGGCTTGGGCATGCTCCCCTCATTTCTGGCTGGGTATTGGCTCTGATACCATATATCACGTCCCACCCCAACCCATGTAGATGTTATCCGCTTTGCATGCTCTTCTCTCGGTGCACGGTTTTCCTTAAAATGCATCTACACAGTTGAGGGGTGTTCACTCATATAAGCCTCAACAACTTTTCCCCCTCCAGGCGATGTGGAACGTCACACTTTCAGTTATTTATTTTATTATTATTTTTTGAATAACAAACTTAATAGTAAAATTTCAGTGTTTTTTTAATGTTCTATCAAGACATATAGAATTAACTTGATCTAATTTTAGTAGAAGAGAAATTATTTGAAATACTCTTATTTTTATTTTCTCCCTTTTTACATTTCTTTACAACCATCTACTCTAAAAGCTTAAGCTATTAAAACATATTCAAAATACTGGTTTTTATTTTTTTCCCTTTTTACATTTGTTAACACCCTCTACTCTAAAGGCTTAAGCTATAAGAGAGGGTGTAACTTAAATAATTAAATCCTTCAACACGCCCCCTCACATGTGGCCTTCTTTTGGTCCAACACGTGTTTTAATTTTTAATTATCAAGGAGACGGTGAGGTTTGAATTTGAGACCTTTGGCTTTGATGCCATGTTAACAACCACCTACTCTAAAAGCTTAAGCTATTAGAGAGGGTGGAACTTTAATATTTAAATCCTTTAACAGCATTTCTTATGTAGCATACAGCTTTTAGAAAATTTCCACCATAAGTTTTAAGTCATTTTCATTTGAAATTATTGAATATAATGTTCCAGCCTTGTGTTTGGATGTGTTTAATTTCATCTACCTTGCATGTTTGTCAAATTGGTTTCCGTTTTGTTCAATTTTTTAGTTTACTTACCCAGTTGCTGCAATGCTTCTGCACAGTATCCGAATTTTCTCTATTGCTGCCTTCATTTGCATTTTTCTTGTGCTGCCGCTGAATTATTTTGGGAAAGAGATGCAACACAAGTTAATCCCTTCAGAGTCACTGGAAGTATTCACCATTGGGAATGTCAAAGAAGGATCAAAATGGTACGAATTTCATCAAAATCAAGTGCTAGATTAACTACTTGGAACTTCAAGAAGTTCCAGATGCTGTAGCCTTCCAGACTCTATTTATAGTAAAAAAAGAAAAGAAAAAAAAGAAAAGCAGATTTTTGTGCCATTCCATTACATATTCAACCACAGCTTATTATAATGCTAACTCAAAGAAGTAATGAAATTATTGACATAACATGTTAAAACCATCTGCTCATCAATTGTTTTTTCTCTCTCTGTCTCTCTTTATTTATTTATTTATTTATTTTTATCTTGTTTTACATTGTCCTCACTTTCATCATACATATTTCTTGTCAGGGTTTGGGCACACTGTCTTGCATTATACATCATATCTGGCTCTGCTTGTGTTCTTCTTTACTCTGTAAGGATGTGCACCTCCTATATCCTACATAACGGTTCTGTTTAACATACTCTTAGAGCGTGTATTTTAATTATGGAACTGTTGCTATTTTCCCCTTTAGGAGTACAAAAGCATCACAATCATGAGGATGGCATATATTACAGGATCTCCACTGAGCCCAAGTCACTTCACAGTTCTTGTTCGTGGTATCCCTTGGTCTTTAGAAGAATCATACAGTGATTCAGTGAAAAAATTCTTTAGTAATTACCATGCGTCAGGTTATTTATCACACCAAGTGGTCTACCATTCTGGTACAGTTCACAAACTGATGGTGAGTATTTCCCTTGGAGATTCTTAAAGCATGTTATTTATATAATATTTTGCTTGGCTTGTTATGTGTATTATTTAACCTATTATCTGATCTTCTTATTTGACCAGCAAAATTTAAAAATGTTTTGATCTTTAAAGTGGTTATCAACTACTTTATTTTGGTGAAACTAAATGCCTTCTTTACATCTTTTTGATGGAATATAGTTCATGTTCCATTTATCTGAAATTTATTTTGTGATGCCTGAGACTGAACACATTTCACTTTACAGTAAAGCTGAGAAGATTGTTGTGTGTTGACATGATGGGATTCCCCATATTTCTCTCTCTCTCTAGCTATCTCTCGTACACATCACTCATTTGCTTCTAACATTCTTTCTTTGATTAATGATTTATTGAAGGCAATGGATATAAGCAGTCTGGATTGTTATTCAGAGAATTAATTGTTTCTCCTCAAATAGAATGTTTTTTTGGGGGAACATTCATAGTCTTTCATACAGACAAACTGGAGTATATATACACATATATATATACCTTTCCAATTAGTCATGTTTAGTGGAAATCTCTCTCCAGATATGACCGTAGATTGCACCCTTTTCCCCCCCAAAAATCCTACCTTTTTTCACTTCATCTAAAGTTAGGATTTTTTTCTTTTCTCATTGGCTCCAATCGAAAGGCACAACCTTGTGAATGGTCCCTATCCAAAAGTTACCATTCTAGAAAGCAACTACCCTACTAAATAAAACCAGTTAAAATGAAAAAATATATTTTTTGACTGCGAAATGTTTCAACTTGGGAACAAAAAAAAAGTTACTTTTAAAATTTCTCCAATGTCTATCAGCAGCTTGCTTTTGGTCCATCATCTAGTATTTCTTTTATTTTCAAGGCGATAAACTTTTTCTTTCCCCTTTCTTTTCTCTTTACAGTCTTTAAACCTTGACCTAGAGCTTGGGAGTTAAGACCCAAAGCCACTAGGACAAAGATAGAAAGTAGGTGATGAATTTTTCCTTCCAGTTTATATAACTAACTCATGTCCTTCCAGTTTGTATAAATCTGTGCTTTGTTCATGATGCTTGACCTTGTCTGCTTGAAGAATAATGCAGCAGAGATGTACAAGGTGTTCAAGTGCACTTCAGATGAAAGACACTGTAGACCAAGTTTGACAAGTTGTGGCCTTTGTGGAGGGCCTACGCATTCTTTCAAAATCCTTTCCAGTGAATTAGGAACTCCTGAAGGGAGAGGTGACTTTAGCGATATGAATGCAAGAGAAAATGTAAGAAATTTTTACATGAATCTAGTCAACCAATTCTGCCACCAGTATTATCTAATCTTGGGTAAATTGCAGTGACACCCCCTCAGGTTTGCTTAAAAGATAGGTAGATACAACTTAGGTCATTTTTGGACAATCACACTGAAGATACCAAAAATAGCTTGGGCCGGGTATGACCCATCCCACTAAAGATTGGATTGGGAGAAAACAATTGACCCGACCGAATGACCGCCCATCAGGCCCAATCTCCATCAAAATGGTCTTCAGGCCCAATCTAAAAGAAAAGGAAGTGAACTTGTATTGAAAGAAAAGCCCAAAAGATCACCCCAGCATGAAAGATCAAAGAGGAAGCTTCTAGAATACTTGTAACGATCTATAAATAGAAAGAAAAGAGGTTGAGATATTTTGAAGTGTAAGAAATCAGTTTTCTTAATTGAGAGAACATTTTTGCAACTTCACACACTCTCCAGGTTTGCAAACTTGAATAATGACACCCCATTCTATAAAAAAGGAGCCAAACACAGCCTTGATTGACATGAAATGTCTAATATGCCCTAAAATATATTTTAATTATCTCATAAAATGACCAAACTACCCTCTCCTTATCTTTCTCTTTCAATCCTATTTTTGCCAAACACAGATTCTCGTTTCTCTCTTTCAACCCTCTCATCTCGGTGGTGGCGGCAAAGGTTGTGGGTGAAGATGCAGTGGTCGGGTAGTGGTGGCAAAGGTCGTGGGTGAAGATGCGGTGGTTGGGTGGCGGCGGCGAAGGTCGTGGATGAAATGGGTTCGGGGTTTGAGATAAATATGTAAAACTCTCATGTGTATGGGGTTTTGAATTGGGGGTTTGAGATACTATGTGTGTGTGTGCGAATTGGGTTTGATTTACGGTTCTCTTGGTTCAATTAGGTTTGTTGTGGGTTGGATTGGATGGTGATGATGGTGGTAGAAGTGGTGGTGGTGGTGGTGATATACATAATATATATACATATATATGTATATATACAGAGATCGAAGTGGAGGGATCCTAGTGACGGGTTGTTTGAGGATGTGGTAGATGAGGAGGGAGGTGGAGGGACGCAGCGGCGTATGGCAGGTGGCGGTGAATTAAGGGGTTGTTTGAGGGTGTGGAAGAGGAGGAGGGAGGAGGGAGGAGGGAGGAGGAAGGATGTGGCGGCGCGTGGCAGGTGGCTGCAAATTGATGGGTTGATGTGGTCGATGCCGTGTTGCGGTTTTGCCGGAAAAGGAATATGGGTCTATGTGTGGATGTGTGACCATCGGTTTAGGCGCTGTAGCGAATATGACTCTCAAACAACCAACGACCACTCCCGGAGCTACAGTCCACCTTCCATGGCCGTTTTGACATACTCCTGTGACGGTGCTCCCCAATACGACATCGTTCGATCTGCTTTCGGTGGCGAATGGGTTCACCGTATTGCTGGCCAGACCGCAGGGTTAGATCATCGGAGGGTCGGTTGTGGGGTCTCTGTACGTGATGGCGACGGCATAGAGATGAGAGAGATGGAAGAGGGAGATGAGATGATAGTTTGGTAATTTTAGGTGAACATCTTAGGGCATATTAGACATTTCATGTCATTTAAGGCTGTGTTTGGCTTTTTTTTTATAAAATGGGGTGTCATTGTTCAAGTTTGCAAACTTGGTGGTGTGATTGTCCAAAAATGGCCTATGTTGTATCTACCTGTCTTTTAGGCAAACCTGAGGGGGTGTCACTGCAAATTACCCTCTAATCTTTATGCATGTATAACAAAGTGACATGTAAAATTTGTTTTGCTTGACAATTTTTGTATTTAATATTTAATTCTGTCTCTTAAAGTGTGTTTGATGCTGGGTGTAGATTTCTGATGTGTAATTATTTTTAACCTTCAGAATGGATTTGCATTTATAACTCTACATATTGCCAAAAGCATGATCAGTTCGCATCGAAGTTGTCTTCTACTCCCCTGTTCTATTCCTAGTCACATATATAGTGTAGGTTGGTACCATTCATCCTGGTTTGGAACTCATGGATAATTTATTTTTATTTTTGCCTATTAGAAGCAAAAAGTTTCCTATAAGACATTACTAAAGACCAGTGAGATATGGCTACTTTATGGCCATTTAATTTAGATCCTTGAATGCCCAGTTACTTGCACTTGGTTAAGAGAATCTGTCAATACTATCTTGCAAAACTAGTTATCTAACATTCTTGCCTATAATCATAGTACCTTTATTGATCCATTGTTATGAACCTCTTGTCACTTTTATAGTTAAAACTGCTCAGGGCACTGGTGTCAACTTTTATGCTGGTACTGGATATTACAATAAAGCTCAATTTAACTTTTTATGTATTCTCAATTTACCTCGTCATGCTCTTAAGCCAAAAGTTTGTTTTTCTATATCATAGGTCTGATGGTAGTGTTCTCATTTGTTTTTAACAAAGATTTTTATGGTCTAACTCTTGTCATCGCAATTTTATGTAACTAATTTATTCTGTATATTGGTACTATAGTATTTTCCCTCCACTCATTAAGTATCATGCGTTCCTCTAAGATAAATAAATTTGTTAGCCACTCCTCCACTCTTACTCTTCTTGAGGTTCTCCACGCTTCTATGGAAATGTTATCTGGTCCTATCATTTTATTGTTTTCTAAGAAGCACGGACACGGATACGGGACACGGATACAACACGACACGGACACAGCGACACGGCAAATCCAAAAAAATTAGGACACAGACACGGCAAATAGTATATATATATATATCAGCATTAATAATTTAAAAAAAAAACACTGATATGTTTAGGTTGGAATATATATATATATATATATTACTGATATGTTAGTATATATATATATCAACATCTTTAGGACACGGACACGGCGAATTGTGGCATCTTTAGGTTAGTATATATATATATCACCATCTTTAGGGTAGTACAAAACAAAAAATAGAACATGTTAGCATTAAAAATTTAAAAAAAAAAAAAAAAAAATTAACATATCAGCATTAAAAATTAAAAAAAAAAAAAAAAAATCCAGAAAAGTGTGTCCGAGCCGTGTCTGAGCCGTGTCCGAGCTGTCCGAGCCGTGTCCGAGCTGTCCGAGCCGTGTCCGAGCTGTCTGAGCCGTGTCTGTGCCGTGTCCAAGCCGTGTCCGAGCCGTGTCCGAGCCGTGTCCAAGCCATGTCCGAAAATAAAAAAAAATAAAAAAATTCCAGACACGTTTTTTGGCGTGTCCGACACGTGTCGGGGCGTGTCCGACGCGTGTCCGTGTCCGACACGTGTCGGACACGGATTCTTCGCCCATTTTGGAGTGTCCGTGCTTCTTAGATTGTTTTTCATTTTTTGTAATATGCTTTCAATTTCTTTATTATTAATTTTATCTATAATTCCAAGATTAGGCTCATTATTTTTCAATGGCTTCCCCAGGATATTCCTCGTACAAAAGTTGTTGAAAGTACCTCTGCCATCTATCTAATATGTCACTCTTGTTACTTATCAAAAAACAAAAAAATATGTCAACCTTGTTAACTAGAATCTTTCCATTTATTTTCTCTATACATCTAACTTGATCCATGTCTTTGGTCAATTTTTCTCCAATTGTTGCCATTGATAAAAAAAACTTTCACCCTCTTTTTTGCCTTATTTTTTTATATAAACTGTTGAAAGAATTTCATTTGGATTTAGCTACCATCTTATTAGTTTTGATTTTTATTTAATTATATTTATCTACTTCCTCTTGCTTATTACTATTAGTATTATTTTGAAATTCTTGTATTGTTTCCTCTGTTTAGTTTCTTCTATTCCTTGGTTGCTCTATGATATGAACACAAAAAATTAAACTGTAGAACTTGATGAAATGTTTTATAGACGTCCAAAAGTTTGTTGAATTGTTTCCTCTGTTTAGTTTCATTGAATTGTTTTTCTATGTTTACCAGTGTAAGCGGTTATGGACAAAGTAATTTAGCTAAAGATGACATATTGAATATAGTCTGTACTTGTAATCTGACGTTATCTGCTAAAACCTTTTTTAACATTTTTTTTTTCTTAGTTTGTACTCACACACGCATGCCTCCTTTGGGAACTAAGGGTCTGACCGCTAGGCCACAGGCCCGTTGGTTTTTAATAACATTTCTGTTTGGTCTCATTACTACCGTCATTTATTCTTGTGTAGAAAGATTGAATACTTTTTAGTATTTCACATTGTAGTCATCACTAACATCTTCTTGCGTGTTTTTAAGGGAATTCAAGTAGTTGAAACATGTGTACTAGTTTTGAACAATATTACTTCAAAGATCTTTTTCTCAATCACTACATAGTAATTTAAGTGCTTTGGTTTTTCATGCAGGAGTGTGCAGCAGCTTTAGTTTTTTTCAGGACACGCTATGCTGCTTTGGTTGCTTCAGAGATTCTTCAATCACCAAATCCTATGTTATGGGTCACGCAGTTGGCTCCAGAACCACCTGATATCTATTGGAAAAATCTTCATATACCTTATAGACAGCTTTGGATCCGTAGGATAGCAACTCTTTTGGCCGCCATCGTTTTCATGTTTTTTTTCCTTTTGCCTGTTACTTTTACACAAGGTCTCCTTCATGTAGAGCAGCTGCAGAAAAGATTTCCGTTTATGAGAGGAATTTTAGAGAAGTAAGTATTGTTATGGTCATAATTTTAACACTTTTTTGACTGCTTGCCTCAAGGGCCTCAAGGCGGGGCAGTTCTAAACTGACTTGAGGCTTTGATAATTAGGCAACGGTATAATTAGGCAATAGGTATACACTCTATGATTCAGGCAATAGTAATGCTGTAAAAGATGTGTGTGTTTGCGCCTTGTTGTGCTCAAGTAAGATGCCTTAAATTATTAATATATTCACTATAATCTTTTAAGTGACCATTCGTTGCTCCATTATTTAACTTTGATACATATAGTGAATATGTGGCTTTACATTTTTACACAACTCCCTATCTCAATGTAGTGTAGCTATATCTAATGATCATACTTTGTATTATCATTTGATAACTTTGTTTCTTGTATTCCTTTAATTTTCAATCAAACCAGTAATTTTCTATTTCTATGTAAATTTTTGTGAAATTCTGTCAGTGATGGAACTTTAAATAATTTATTTGCTAAACTATCTTGCTATACTTATGCCTAGGGATGAATTTATACTTCTAAAAATATGTATTTTCTACTTATTATTTTAATTATTTTCTCTCTTTTATTATATTTTATTATTATCGATACATGTTTCAAAACTAATTGTAAAATAATTGAAAGGTCATGCTATTTGCCTTTAGGTATCTGCCTTACCTTATGGGGAGAGAAACGCCTTGCCTTGCACTGTTACCTTCTAAAATTTTTCTTTCCGTTATTTCTTCCTATATATGTTGATTATAGATTCAAAACTTGAAAAGCATTCTCTGTCTATATGGTTATTTTGGGTCATCATCATCATCCTTGCCTTAATCCCATATGGTTATTTTGGGTGAAGTGTTAAAATTTCTTGCATTATGCTTTTTCTTTTAGAAGTTGACCATCAATGTGATTGTAATTGTCATTTTATACAGGGAAAAGAAACATTAAATTCAATATTGCTGACAGGGCAAAAAAAAAAGAATTCAATATGGTTGCAGTTGTGTTTATTTCTTTGTTCTTAAGATTTCACATTTATTTAGGTTAAACAAGCCTTCTGTTGGTTTCTTACATGGAAATGGAAGCATTTAAGTCAATGTTATTGTTTACAAAGAATTGGAGCTGCAAAATTTTTGTGCTAGAGAAATGCTAAATACGTTCCTTACATGAGCTTATTAAATTGGAATATTAGCATATTACTTAAATCTATGTGGCCAATATCTTAGTATTACTGATTTTAAAGTCAGTATCTGAATTACTGCATCATGAATTCAAAATGCATTATTGTCAAATTTTGTTTCTTGTAATGGATTTTTACAAATCAGGAGAAGAGTTACCTGATATAGAGTTTCAGTTGCAACTATTATGATATTTTGAAGGCCTTAAGTTTGATGCCCTATGGATTCCCCAAGCATTGCTCACCAGATTTAACCTCACGTCATTGTAAATAAGCAAGGAATAAATAATTTAAATGATCTTGCCTTTTGTTTGTCTCATTTTCATTGTTTAAGCAACCTCATCATTTTCGTAACTACGTTTGAAACACACAATTTCCCTACAATATTTGTTGGCTGGATGAGTTTTTTTGTCAACTTTTCTAGTTCATATTTTTAATTGATTTTTCATTATTATTATTGTTGTCTTGGCAATTTTGTGGTAGTATTCTTTTTATTTCTTATTGTCATTATTTTCTAGATGTTGCTGGTTCACTATTATGCTATGATCACTGCTGTTGGCGTCATACTAGCTTGATTGTGAGAAAAATTCTTGTATTTTAGTGTCTTACCATTAGCACATCTGGTTCTGTTGAATTGTTATTTTCTTTTAGAAAATAGAATGGAATAGGGTTCAAAATGATAGTAAATTGTTGATCTGATATAGGCAGGAATTCTGTTGAAATACTTACCCTGCTTTTAATTCATGCAGAAAGTTCGTAATCCAGGTGGTGACAGGGTATCTACCAAGTGTGATACTGATGATATTTCTGTATACTGTTCCACCAATAATGTATCTATTATCGACAGTGGAGGGTCCTGTCTCACGTAGTGACAGGAAAAAGAGTGCATGCTGCAAAGTCCTATACTTCATAATTTGGAATGTTTTCTTTGTTAATGTCTTCTCAGGGACCGTTATGAATAATTTGCTTCTCATTTCTAAACCAAGAGACTTACCTACCCAACTTGCCATAGCGGTTCCTTTACAGGTGTTATTCTTTCTTCTTTTTGAGTACCAAGATAGGCGGTTATCCTCCAGTTGTTTCTTAGCATGCATTTAGAATTTATATCTTCAACTGACTTTTCTCCTCCTTGTCAGACTTATATATGTATGTATCTTTTCTTATTGGAACTTCTCTAATGAAAATATTGAGTAACTATTTTGAATTCAAATTCCATAATGAAACTGAATTCATCAATTTGAGTTGAGAAGTATTTGTAATAAGTCGCCAGCTGAGGCTTTATCATGACTTTTCAGTGGATTTAAGTTATTTGGATAGCCTTATTCTATATGTGGTCTTTTCTTCATATAGGTTAAACTTTGGTTATATGAAAAATTTTCAAGTCCCTTTACTCCTTAATTTATACAAACATTAAATTTAGATGAATTTTTCTTAACTATGATTATGTATTGAATTTTGGCAGGGTGCCTTATTTATGACCTACGTTATGACATCAGGTTGGGCTAGCTTGTCATCCGAGCTCATGCAACCAGTCGGTCTTCTCTGCACCTTCTTTAATAGAGTCATTCTAAGAAACAAGGAGTTTTCTTATGGCCCTTTATCTTTTCCATATCACACAGAAATTCCAAGAGTCCTCTTGTTCGGACTTATTGGGTTCACCTGTTCCATATTGGTACCATTGGTGCTGCCCTTGTTGCTGGTTTACTATTTTCTTGCTTATCTCGTGTACCGTAATCAGGTGAATTCTTTAACTCATGCACTTTGTTCTATCTTAACCTTTTTTCCCTCTTTCATGGAAATAATTGACCTTGAATTTGTAGTGCTTTATATTTATCTATTGCTGTCGGAGTGCATTTGTGGTGCTTTAATTGTATCTTGTTCGTATGCACAGTTTTCTCATCATTTATTTATTAACTCCATCCTAATTTGTGGGTCTTTCCTTTTTGAGTGATAATCATGCATTCTCATCAATTAGCACTGCACCTCTGAGGCGGCTGTGGTTATGGTCACTTGATTTTTAGGTGAAATTAGTTGCTTGAGGGTTCAAGTCCCCATTGTTTCATGCCTACCAAAGAAAATGTTAAAATAATATTTCTTAAAATTTGCAAATTATTTAATTTTACTAACCCAAAAAAAAAAAAATTGAAATTTTTGTCATGGAGGCTGGTCAATTCCTTGCTGCTTTGTTAACTCATGCAGTCCTAGCATGTTGCAACATGCTAGGTATGAGTATGACTATCAGATTTTCTCCCTACTTCTAGAATGCCCCTCACCGCACCACAAATCCCGCTTACCAAACAGCTTAAGGCTCATTGAGTGCCTACTGACTTTTTTTTTTTAATTTTAATTTTAATTTTTACTTGCTGGCAAATTATGTTAATCGTTCTTATATGCCTCTTCATTGGAACTTCAAGTTTGAGAAAAGGAAGTTTGAATTGTAGAGGTAGAATGCTTTACCCAATAAAGCTTTAATACCCTCTTATATGGTTTCAGTTACAAGAATCCGTTGTGTATTTAATATTGTCACCTTATTAAAGGCAATTCTTTTTACATTCTAGTTGACTGGTGAATTTAATGTCGCCCTTTTTTTTCATACATTTTCCATTTGTTAATTAATTTTGTTTCTGTTTGGGTGCCACTGAAGAATGTATTTTGAATTTATGATCTCAACACACATGTTTCAGATTCTCAATGTATATATTGCAAAATATGAAAGTGGGGGACAGTTATGGCCTGTTATGCATAACACGACAATCTTCTCGTTGGTGCTGACACAAATAATAGTCTCTGGGGTCTTTGGAATGAAGCATTCAGCAGTTGCATTGGGCTTCACCGTTCCACTGATTATTATTACACTACTCTTTAATGAGTACTGCAGGAAAAGGTTTCGGCCAGTATTCGAGAACAATGCTGCTCAGGTAACGACTAGAAATGGATTACCTCTCTCTCTCTCTTTCTCTCTCTCTCTCATGTTGTTTGGATTTGTTCACAGGTCCTTATGGAAATGGATCGGCAAGATGAGCAATCTGGGAGGATGGAAGAGATTCATAAGCAGTTGCGTTCAGCCTATTGTCAATTTGCATCACTGTCCCAAGAGGGCCAAGACTCGCGTAAGGATGATATGCAACTGAACCATTGTGGCGATGGGGATGGTGACGGACTCAAAGATCCAGAAGCCATAAACCTTGGTTCGATTGGTGAACAATCTAGAGAGACTTTCCATCTGGAATCAGGTAGGTAAACTGTTTGGTCTAAGGCTGTCGCTTTTCAAGAAAGAAATCAAGCCTAAATATATGGATCATGAACAGTTCGTTGCAGTTCAGAAATACAATGCGAATACGAAGTAGACCGAGCTCTGCTCTTATGTACATAATTCATTTTTGAGAAATGAGATATTTGTAGAAAGTCTCTCAAGCTTTTCTTGTAGCTCCAATATCATCTCCAATTCATTTTTATGTACGTATTCAAGTTTTCTTATTGCCGCCATTCTGATAGTGTTGCCCGGAAGTACAATTTTTCTGAAGTACATTTGAAGCCTTGTATAGAACAGAAGTTATATGATTTCTGACAGCAAACCTAGTGCACCATTCGAATAGAAGTGAAGGTTTATTTTCCTCTTTTTTCTTTTTCTCTTTCTTTGTTCGTTTCTTCTCACTTGTAGAAAAACTGATTGGGAAGTCACATTATGCTTGAATTTAGAGCAGATGATGTTCTTTGGTATTGGAACAAATTTGTACTTTGTGAACTGCATAGTTTTGAGTTTTATAAGCCTACAATGAGAGGAATTGGTTCTTGTTTAGGCTTTGCAGTAATATGTTGGGACATAGCATCAGATCATTAAATAACCAAAGTTTAAACACCGTTAATATCCATTAATTATATGAATATCCCTAGACTTTAGTAGTTCCAATAAATTCTAGATTTCAATGTGCAAATATATGGACAGAAATGCCATTATGGCCAAAAATATGCAAAAATAATCGAAAACATTAATTACATGAAACACCACTTAAAAAGAATCGTTGTGTGAGAGCATATATACATCAAGGAGATTTAATTGAATGAGTATATTGTTATGTACCATTCCATCAATCTGGAAAAAACAAAGGGTTTGCTTAGTTTGTAACTCTGAAAACAGTTATTAGAAAATAGAGAATAGTTTTCAGAGAATAATAAAAGACTGTTTTCTGAAAACAAGTATTTTTATAATTGAGTTTTCATAAAACAGTTTTTAGAAAATTCAACCAAACTGAGTTTTTTGTACAATTTTGTATTCTCATGAAATTGTTTCCATTGTAAAAATCAAACATGCCCAAATATTGTCCGCTTTGGTTTCCCTTGCTAAGTGATTCCGTTCAGCATTCAAAAAATTTCATCCGTCACAAAAAGACTGAAATGCACCTGGTAGCCTTTGTAATACAATATCACCTTTTGAACCAAAACTTGAAACCCTAATTGGCCTGTAATGGGTACCGTCAACACAATGTACCTTCCTTGGACAATTTGAAAAGAGTAGTAATGTAATTGATTATTCAAACATGGAAGCATAGTCAAAGCATTAACAAGAAAATAAAGAAATCAAGTGGAAATTTACATGGAAATGCTACTGAGGTTCCTTTTGGAGTCACAAAGAGTGTTTTAATGTGTAAAGATTGACTCTTTGAATGAAAATACCTTAATCAAGATACCTTTTGAGTCACTAGAGCGTTTTAATGCATGAAGATTGAAGATCCATCACCATATGTAGCAATTTTGTCTGATTTTTAAAACGGTTTGGTGTGAAATTTGTGTTGCGAAAATTAAACAGAAAATTAAACAGAGAAGCAGATCAAACTCCTATGCACACAAATGTGCTTCTCTTTTCAAACACGGACGTAACTCCAAGCCAGAATCACGCAGTTTCTCATATAGATAAATGATAAACATCAACATTAAATGACGCATTGTTCATTTTACAAATCAATCATCCAATCAATGACAACACCATCACCATTTACAATTGCAGAAACCAGTAAAACATACTACTTCTGTACATATTTTGGTTCCGCAATTGAAATTAAACAAGAGGTGAGTCAATTTCAACAATCCAGCCCCTCTTGTCCTCAATGTGACCTGTTTGGATATCTACAAGTGTTGAGTACAGTTCTTTGCTCATCATTCGAGTGCCCATTTTATATTCAACCCTGTGCACATAATACCTAGATGGTTAGAGAATACAGAGGAAAGAAACAATCATGAGAGCTCTATAATGCACAAGGTGGAAGTTTTCCTTAGATATTATAAGACACTCAACTTTGTGTTGATCAAAATCTAATGAACCATACTAATTGCAGCTAATTCCTAAAATTTTCCAATTGATTCTTGATCATCTTCCAATAGTTCAAACAATAACTAGCCATAGCTTTACTAATATAAACTACGCTGATTCAAAACAATAGTGCAACAACTTTGCAAGTTTTGAACCTGCACGGACGCCAGTGGATAAGGGATCTCCTGGGGTGAACCGTAAACTCAGGCGTTCTGGGTTCAATTCTCACAAGGCACAAAAACACACGAGCTTAAATGACGTGTGATTTGCTGGTGATTGCACATATCCGGAGTTTACAAACCATTCAAGAGTCCAAAATGACGAGTGGTGGGTTGATTGCATTCTTGGATGATTTGCACACTCCGGAGTGCTGGTGGATTGCACATATCCGGAGTTGGCAAACCATACGAGAGTCCAAAGTGACTAACAGTGGGTTAATTAATATATATATATATATATATATATATATATATATATATAATAAATTAAAATTAAAAAAAAAAAAAATCTTCAAGTTTTGGACTGTTTAACATTGCCCAAAATAGCTAGTCAATAGTTTTTGTTTTTCAAGAAAAAGTGCAATGAGTGAGAGTACTTGCCTTCTGTTCTGATATGTAATACTACCAACAGGAGCAACACCAACAGCAGTTCCTGTACAGAAAACTTCATCTGCATCCATCAATTCCTCCACTGGAATACAACATTCCTCAACCTGTTTGGGAACACAAGAAACTAATTTAATAAACTAATTTAATCCTAATGAATATTTTAAATATATTTTTAGGAAAAAGCTTAAGTAGAAAGGTAAATTGGTAATTATAGAACTGACATGTATATAGCATGCAAAAAGCATTTTATTTCTTATTATCAGTCACTTAAGAATAAGCAAATACCATTCTAAAATCCTTCATTACCTAGTTTTTATATTTTCAACCTCAAAATAAGAAATAAAGAAGACTATATAAAATAACAGTTGCTAGTTCACACATAAGAATGACTTGTATTATGTCAAAATGGTGCATGATTTCTGATTTCAACAAATAATTATGAGATTTGGCTAATGTAGCTTTTCTGTTTGCAAGATAAACTACCTGGTACCCTAGATCACGGGCAACGTCGATGATGGTTTTTCGAGTGACTCCTTCAAGAATAGTTCCATTGGTTGCCGGAGTTGAAATAATATTACCCTGTAAAACATGAATTGTTACATAAATGAGACTACATTCCACTTCTGATAATTCTATGAAATACCATCAAAAGGAAGGAAAAAAAAAAAAAAATAAACTTAAATATTTCAATAGAAAATTCTATGGTTCAGTTTCTGAGAATTGTTTTTTTAAAACTCAATTATAAAACGGTCTTTTATAGTTCTCTTAAAACAGTTTTTTGTTTTTTGAATTCTTGAGAAATGTTTTCAAAGTAATAAACCAAGCAATCATTTTCACATTTTGTTATGATTGTTGTATGTATATCTTTTTCTTTTCTTTCGAATTTTCATAAACCGAATCTGAGAATCAAGGTATTAGGATAATATATATGAAATTAAATTAATTTGATTGACGACAGAAGATCTAAGCTGAACAATACCTTCACCACAAAAATGTTACAAGAACTGGCCTCCTCGAGGTTCTTTTTATTCAATGCATCAAGGTACAAGACATCAGAGAATCCTCTGCTCCTTGCCCTAGTTAATGCCTTCAAAGCCTACACAAAAGAAAAGCTTCAAGGTGTTGATGAAATTATTAATCGAGTTACATCTTCTAAACCTAAACAAGAGAAGGTCAAGGACTCGTTTACCGGGGCATAATTGGCAATGGTTTTGACACCTCCAGCTCCACCACGAGAAGCGCGATGGAATTCATCCTCCACGTATAAATTCAACGGTGCCAAACCTTCCTGTAGACAGTAAAATCAGTACTGTGTAAACCATTCTTTTGTTTGAATCAAACCCTACCCTAAATTACAATATCTAAGTAAAAAAATTGACCTTGAAGTAGTTGCCAACAGGGGACGCATATACAAGAAATGTGTATTCAGGTGCCGGAGCCAAACCCAATATAGGACCACTTCCCATTAGCAGAGGCCTAATGTAGAGAGACCCTTTGCCTGGTGGAGGAATCTGCTCTGATTTAAAAAACACAAAGTTACTAAACATAAACATATACATATATATTTATGTATGTATTGCATGAGACTTTGCATATTGTTCAAAAGTGAAAGAAAAGTATTACCCAACGCTTGTTAGCAATGGCGGTTTGCTTGACAGCATCGACAAATTGCTGGATAGAGGGTGATGGCATGCACATTCTTTCGGCACCAATTTGCATACGGATGGCATTCTGATCCGGCCGGAAGAGGAAGAGGCCTCCATCATCTCTCCTATATGCTTTTGTACCTTCAAACAGTCCCTATTTGGATTTTGAAACCAACAACATAAAGAAGAGGTGCTAAAGTTATTTCGAATTCCTTGTTCTTATGCTTGATGTTTTGATATTTATTGTTAAATATCTATAGTTGTCAACATTTTTTACTCAAATAATTCGAATTTTTTTATAAAGTTCCCAATTTCCGCAAAAGAGACATAGACTTGGATAATTTTCAAGTAAATTTTGACAGTAATTAAGCAAGTAACAATTGCAGTTTCGAAATGGGAAAAAAAAAGAAAAAGAAAAACTGCGGCTGACCTGCCCATAGTTTAAGACTCCGGCAGAAGGGCTCAACTCGATGTTTCCATAGCGGCTAACTTGGCCTTGTTCGAATATCTGGTCATCAGAACATTTCATGGTGTACATGTAATCAGTTGGCATCAGACCAAATCCGAGGTTACTCCAATCAATATCAGCGTACTCGTTGTCACTGGCATTACTACTCATCAAAACAAAAGCAGAAAGTGAAAACGAAAACAACGTTAGAGGGAAGATTAAGGCATACTTCAATAATTACAAAGAATGGCTAGAAAACTGTCATATACATCTGGACATGCAGTTTCACATAACAAATGAAAGTAATTCTAGCGAACAGAGTATTGCAGGGGAATTTTTAATAAAACGAATTGGTTCAAAGTTCAAATTTATATTTTGTTGAATGACATTAAACAATATCTTATTTGGATAGCAAGTTGAAAATGATATAAAAGAAAAGATTAACAACCCTAAGCAATTCAAAACGAGATAGAATGAAATTATAAACTGTTCAAGCAAATGGCGTGGCATTGCCATAACATTGTCTGGAATTGGAATTCTTCGGTTTTTGCAGTTACCTGTAAGGAGATGTTTCACACACTTGTTGTAGAGAAGATGCAGCTTGAGATGTGAAAAATTGGTAAGCTCCAAGCTGCAAATTGACATAAAAATAGTCAATTCACTAACAAAAGCAATAGAAATTGATCATTATATTTGAACTAATGGGAACATAATTCCACTTGGTAATCAAAATATAATGAAACATGAATAGATATACTGACGTCCTGTAATTTTCTTATTGGGACTTTTTCACTAGTTTTAAACTATACAATAGTTAAAGACTCCCAATTGTTGCAACAGTTATTAGTGCCGTTTTCACTACTTTAAATTCTAATTGCTAGCTTTTTGTCACGGGTCAGGTGTTTCACAGTCCGACTCAAAAGTTTAAATTATTAAGTAGTGTTAATATCTAACCTTATATGCCCAAGACCCTCCCCCATCGGGATCTAATGTGGGACAAGAATCCATGACATTCTCCCCACCCAAACCCACAACATCTTTGTGGTGGTTGGCCCACCTTGCCTACCCGTCCACCTAATGATGGAGGACTCGGTACCTAACTTGGACACCTCTGTATGGGCGCTTGGCGCGATATCGGATCAAAAATTGAACCTGCTCTGATACCACTTGTCATGGGTTGGGTATTTCGCGATCCGACCCAAAAGCTTAAGTTTTGGTTTAGCGGGCAAGTGTTCATCCGTTACATTTGGTATCAAAGTTAGACGCAATTCTTGATCTGGTGTCACGCTAACAGCTTAGCCCGGAGGTATTTGGGTTGTTGTCTCGGATAGGCAAGGTGGTCCAACTGCAACAAGAGCGTTGTGAGTTTGGGTGGAAGAGACTGTTAGAGGTGTCCCATATCGAATTCGAATGAAAAGTGAAATTAGTATTAATGATTGGTATGCAATATTATTCAATGGCTTGAGTTTTTGTGTCTGCGGCCAAATGCCCACCCGTTATTAGAATCATTACTAAACCAACCAAAATCCAGATTTAACCATCCAAATATAAAATGAAGCTTCATGATTCTTTTTATCCCACACCAAAAAAACAAACAAACGAACTAGATACCAAGTTTGTCCACCAAGCAAGGACTACCATCTAAATCTTGGACCTTTAAACTACCCTGTTACCATAATGGCATGAACTAATACAAAATTTCATTCACACTCTTCTGTAAATCAACTTGTTCAGTTTTATTTTGTCCATGTTGCATTAAAATTCTTTGCTCTTCCACAAATTCACATAGATTTTTATATGATGAGCCCTCAGAGAAAAGCATGGAAAATTTGCACATCTAGAAAAGAAAAACTTGAAACCATTCATATTTGATCAAAAACATAATCAAATGAAGTACTGCAACATACAACAAATGAGTAAACACAACTGGGTTGGTCATATATTTTTCATATAATTAATAAAATCTGATCAAATACTAAAAAGTTGAAGACCAACCTTTTTTACAGAACATATACTTGAAGATTGGATCAAATTGCCAAGGCTGCAGACACTCCTCTGAATCATTGTTGCTCTTATTGGAATCTTGAGACAAACCAGACTGTGATAATTACCACCAAATTTCAAATTGGCTAAAAGAAAACAAAATATTACAAATGATTTCAGAACTTATTGAAGATAAAACTATAAATGTATAGATAGATACATGTTATTGAAGTACAGTATGTATATAGGCACGGTCAGAGAAGAAAATGCCAAGAAAGATGGAAACATTATTGAACATCAAAACAGGGGACCATGCCAACAAGGTGGCAATCACATCAGATAGACACTTACGAAAGTAGAGATAGGATTCACATATTTTTATTTTTATTTTTTCGAGGATAGGACTGATAAGACCAACGCCCATACATATTACACGTCAGCTAGATTCAGAGCCATTGGAAGAGAGATACTTAAAATAACTAGGTGGTGCATGCTTGCTGGACATGAGGTTGGCAAATGTCATCAATAAAGGACCTACCTAACAAGATTTGCCTACTTTGAATCACAAATTCATAAATAGTATTAATTATAAATTTAGAAAAATAATAATTTCTTTTAGAATAAATTAAATCACTCTAATTTTTTTATTTATCACTTTTTAATTTTTTTTATTATATTTTATATGTATATTTATAATTGGACCACATCAAATGAGTGGAGATACCCTACATGGGTAGAAGTCTTGTCTTTCAATAAATATAAAATTAATTATGAAATGAATAATTTAATAAAGGACAAGACTTGTCTGGATGTAATCCAATCACAAATATCATTACAAAATCTATAAATTGATATAAGATAATTGAATTTATTTCAAAAAAAATTATTAGCCTTATTTATTAGTTTCTTGATTTTATAATTACGGATTATTTTGTTCATTTGTGATTGGACAATAAATGACCTATTCATTTGTGATTTGTCCTTTAATAAATGGTAAGTACGGGGATGCAATTTAAAATACGAAAAATATGAAAAAGAATGTCAGTACAAAACAACTCAACAAAAGTATTTACCAAAATGAAATCATACAAAAATGGTCCAAAATACCCCTCGATCTTTGTTAAGTCTATTACAAAAATGCCCCTCTTACTCCCATAAAAAATTACAAAACTAACCTTTAATAATCTAACAAAAAAGTCTCATTTTCAGTAATGGAATCCATTTCTCATCTTTTCGTCTCTTTCATCTTGGTTGCTCATGCTAGGGCAAGCAAACAAGAGCTAAAGAACACATTCTTCCATCATAATTTCTGGCCAAACGTTGGATTCAAACACAATAGAATCCATTAAAGGCTCATTTGCAGACACTGTTTCCTTCTTTCTCATCTCTGTGGCTTATGCTAGGGTAAGACAACATAGTCGGCGAACAACACAGTCCGACCGTTCCGACGAAAGGCCCATTTCAAACACAATCGAAGCCATATCTCTCTTTCAATGTTACACTTAGTTTATTTTTCATAGCAATAAAAAATTTCATGCTTCATTATCATGGACCTTTGGTTTGTTGTGTTTCTTTTGCTATGCCAGGAGCCCATTGCACTAGAGCATTAAGTGTAAAGCATTTTCTGAATAATATAAAACTTTACTTTGTAATATAAAATCTTTATTGAATAATGTAAAACTTGCACTTAAGAAACCTAAAAAATTCGCTGCACTTCTGTAAAACTTTTATTGAATAATGTAAAATATTTACTGTCTAATATAAAACCTTTACAATAATGTAAAACTTGAAATCCCAAAATGACTTCGCCACAAATTTGAAGCTTCTTCATCGAATGCGTCAATGGCGAGAGGGAGAGAGAGACAGTGACACTAGCATAGCTTTGAACAACAAAAGTGGGTCTGTTCTTTGGTGCCGGAGTGAGTCGTCGGTGACTTAGTCGTCGTAGATCTGAAGCTTAATGGCAAGAATGAGAGACAGAGAGTGTGTGCTTATCTAAACCTTTTTTTTGCGGTAGTTTGATGCTGTATAAGTGTTTGTAGGGAGGCGTTTGATGACGCATAAATGGGTTGAGTGGGTTAGATTTTACCGTGAGTAATTTTGACTTTTTGATTTCTGATAATTTTTTAGTTATGTATGTTTTTGTTTATTGTTTTTTTTTGGTTAATTCAAGGGTAATTCGGTAAAGTCAAATAAAGTGCGTGATGGGTAATTATGTCCTAAATGTATGGGTAATTGTCATATACGAAATTACTTTGCATAAGTTATGATATTTGTAATTACTTTTTCTTAAAATACTTTGTACTAGCATTCTTTTTTGTATTTATGTACTTTAAATTGTGTCATCACTACTTACCAATTAATTAAAATATTCCTTTATGAAATGAATACCTAAAAATTTAGTCTAATGATATTTTATTGCTTGTCAAAATAATAGGAGTATTAACTAACAAGGTTGGCTTAAGGGAATAAGAACTTGGCCATAATGTCTCATGTATTAGTTCTAAGATTCAAAATTAATCCTATCGATCATATATAATAGGTGACAATTAAAAAATAAAGATAAAATAATTTTGAAAGTTTAAAAACTTTTTTTTTTTTGTTTGTATATGAAATATAAACATGCATGCTTGCTAGACACCAGGTTGAAAAAATTAAAATAAATATAAACCTAAGTATGAAATAAATGAAAATTAATCATACATAATTAAAAAATAGAAAAATAAAATAAAAATCAGAAAGCTAAAAAAATTTATTTTATCTATATGTAAAATAAATTATACATATAAAATAAATATATTTATATGTGATTTTATGATCGATTATTATTATGCTTGTTTACAATAATAACTAGAGTTCTGTAGTGAATAAATTAAGGGTAAAGTAAAGAAAACAAAACAAATAAATAAATAAAAACTCTACAATATAAGAAGGCGCAAGAAACACCTCCATTTTTTATAAAGTGTATATAAATATCTATATTTTGAAAATTTGTAGCAAATTGCTCCTGGTTGTAAATTTTGACCAAATTTTATAAAAAAACTCCCAAAATACTCATAAGGGCATTTTAGGTACTTCAACCTTCAATTTTTTTTATAAAAACCCCAAACATCCCAAAACGTACCCAAATTTATATATATATATATAAACTCCTATTTTTTGAAATCAATGTTTTTAAATTTTATTTTGTCTCAAGACATTTTAAGCATTTTAGTCTTCGAATTGAAAAATTATCCTTATTTGTTCAATTTAAAAAATGTAAGAGATATATATATATTGCACATTCTTTATACGACTGGGAGTTTTTATTTTTATTCATAAATTAATAAAGAATAAAATTGGATTAGGTCTAAAATTCGACTCTCTCTTGAAGGGATTCCTGATTACAAAATAGCAAAAAAAAAAAATAATTTACACTGACATTTTTTTTATTATTTACACGAGGCAACTGTATTAGGCTAAAATTACACCATGAGATTATCATTATAGCCTTATTAAATATATAGCAGTACTATGCATTTAGGCAGCTGAAAAGCAGAAAGTGACAAACCCTTTTTTTTTTTTTTTAAAAAAAAAAAAATTTCTTAGACAGGAATGACATTTATTTATTTATTAAACTTATCTTTTTCGGGAACAGGAGTTGGGATGGTAGCGCATATCTATGGCACCAGCCTTATCTATCTTTACTTTACCCGAAATTAAAAATTAATTTTTTTTGACAAGAAGATTTTTATAAGTTAGAGATTAGAGACTAGAGTACGTATATGAAAATGTTTATAACAAAATAAACGTGGCCTTTATTTTCCAAAGTTATCTTTCAATAGTGCAGAAAACTAATGTGACGTGTGTTGTGTTAGAAAGCCTCCCTCCGTTTGTGCAGAAGGAATTTATTAGTGAAAATAACTTATTTTAAAAAGATTGCTATAAAAAAATTAAAAATAAAAAAACTCTTTATTCTATTTGTTATAGCGCTTTGAAACTCATACGTTAGATGGAGTGAATCCCATAAATTTTTCCTCCAAATATTTTAGCCATTTCTTCAAAGTTCCATGCTGGATAATCTTGTCATCCACTTGATGGGGAAAAACAAAATATATCTTGTCATACATGTCTACATCTGTCAAAATTTTCCAGCAATAATGGAATATATTTACAATCCAAAAATGTCCCAGATTCCTTCCCCATTCGAAAGGCTTTGAAAGCTACAATTCCTTTTTTGTCTTGGCTTGCTCTAACCAATGAAATAATTTATTTTCCTCCAAGTTTTTCCCATTATGTCTCCTCCTAATAAAAGCTCCAAATGTAATGAATTATTGTTCTTTCAATATCATATGTTCTTATCAGCTATATTTTTTTGATGTCTAAAGCACATCGGGGTCTATTTATGACAGTGAGGAGTTCTCCTATTACAAGTAACAGGAGGGGATATCTCAATACAAAGTATAATGAATCTGGACAAGTAATAGGAAGCGACGCAATATAATGGACCTTTGAAAAAAAAGGAAAACACCCACACATTAAGGCAAAGGACTCTCCTACTTGATCACAATATTTCAATGGTTAGTCTTGTTCTTCTCCTTCCTGTCAAGGCTCTTATAATAATCACATTTGTTTCCGAGTAGGTTAGGTGAACCAATCCCAACCCCAAACTGGCTGAAAGTACAAATAATTTTTCCCTAATTGTAGAGAGAGAAACTTTACACTCCCAATGATTTTTTCTAACCCCTTTTCCCTCTTAATCCCCCTTTATTTATAGACGATTATAACCTCCACTGAGCTGGACCTATCTTGTTCTCTTTTGGCTGGACTCGACTTCCCTCATTATAACATGGGCTTTTGAAATGACTTTATGGACCTGGGCCCATCCGGTGCGAACTTGCTCCATCCCATTTGTTCACACCCGACCCGTCCTATGCAATGTGGATCACACCAAATCCGGGTCATTTTGGTGTCCTCATCTGCCCCCAATAATCTCTTTCCTCATTAATGAGGGTGAGATTATTGAAAGGACACGATCTTGGTCTGACGGCTTGGAGTAATGACTCGAGGAATCGAACGGCTGGCACAAGAACCCAAGTTTCGAGATCTGCAGCGCCACTTTTTGCCTTGACCTTTGGAGTTTCATGTCGCTTTTACTTCTCCTCTTTATAAATTCTGGTTTCTCAACCTTCACCCTTCCTCTTACTTCTCGCTTCTACTCTCTGTTGCTTTCCTGCACATTCCGGCATTCCTTCTTAATTTCTCCGGCGAGTTCTTCCGGCAAGTCCTTCCTTTTCGATTTTTAGCTACTGTGCCGTTGCTGAGTTCATCACAAACTTTCAAGGTTAGTTTTTTTTTTTGAAAACCTCTCCTTAAGAGACGCCTTTACTGCCTAGAACTCTTCCCCTTTTTCATGGCTTCCCCTAACCTGAATGCCATTCGATCCAAGAATTGTATCCCTCGCGACGTTTCTCTCAGAGTCTACCCAACAAACTTAGACGAGAGATCTGATGAGGGTCTTCTTCCTGGGGAAGTTTTATTCTCTGCCGTTCACTTGAACGTCATTAGGTTCCCCGTACACCCATTCTTTTGTTATGCTTTCAACAAATTGGGGCTCTGCCCCCTGCAAGTTAACCCAAACTTTCTTAGGGTAATTTCAGTCCTCCTGCTCTTGAATCGTGATAGGGGTCTCAATCTTGACATTATTGACCTTCTTCTCTGCTATCGGATTAACAAGATTTCACAAAACGACTTGTACTATCACTTCTTTCCTATTGACAAACGGTCAATTTGCACTGATAAAAGCTCATTTGAAAAAGGTTGGAGGCGGAATTTAATTGTGGTTGGTGGGAATTGGCGGACTCCGCTCGACCATTCCTTCCCTATCCCTTCTTCCTTTGGAGCATGTTCTGTCTCTGGCTACAAAAAGCTGAAAACACATCCTTCCGAATGCCACTGTGAAAGTTGTCTTCCCCGTTTTTGCACTTTTCTTTGTAGATGCCTTCAAATTCCCCATGATGAACTAGTTTATAGCGTCTGCAGGGCTAGGCTAGATACCTTGCAAGAAAGCGTGCTAAACGATGTCCCTTCAGCTACTGATTTGCTTACATCTGATAATCTTTCTGACATCTCTCTTTTAGGGTCTACAATGGAGAACATTCAGATCCCATCGTTCAGCAGGAGGATGCGTCTTGCTCCCACCCCTTCTAACGCTTCTGCCGTCATTCCATCACCTACACCTGCTTCCATATCATCTCTCCCTGCTGTCTTTGCCCCAGAGCAAGTTGTGGTTGCCCCAGCGGCGACTCAAGTCTCAACCCGTTCTGCTGATGCGCACTCCGAGCTCACCCATGCTGAGAACCCTGTTGTGGGCCATACTACTGAAGTCCGTCCTGCTGCCCCCGTCATTATGCCATCAAACATTTCGTCCGACACTTCTTTAGAGAGCACTCAGGATGCTGGAAATTCTGAGGACAATGGGGGGCCAGCTAATGTTGTTCTGTCGGAAAAGAGTTTGGGAAAAAGGCCAATGCCTGAGGGCGGTCATGATCAGAGTGATATCCCACCGACCCGAAGGATCAGGATGGCTTCCTTCAGGGTTACTGAACCATCGCCCCCTGCCCAGTTCTTCATTCCTGAAGGCGAGTCGGCCAGAACCTCTGGTCCAATTTCATCCGTTCTTCCATGGTGACCTTTGCTCAGCCGTGAAGATGGATCAACCATTGGCCCCACTGACTCAATATACAAGGACCCCCTCACCTCGTTTGCTTTCTACAAGGGTTTCTGGACCCCCAAAGACCTTGAAATCCAGAACAAGCTATCCTTTGGTGAGATGTTCCAACGGTTCCCGACCGCTGCTATAGAGGTGACTCTTCTTCTACTGAACTGTGTTCCTTTTCAGTTATGATTCCTTAGTAATTAGTTTGACCTGAATTTCTTTTTCTTCATGCAGACTCTGTTCGGGATGTTCACCTTTCAAAAAACAATTGAAACTCTGAACAAAAAACTTAAGTCCTTTTCTGTGGGACTCAAAAGGTCTGTTGAAGCAGAGACTCTTCTTGAGGCTAGAGTTGCTGAGCTGGAGTCTAAGCTTAGGGATTCAGAGAAGGGAGCTGCTGACCTAAAGGCAGAGAGAGACGGTCTGGCAAACGAGAGGGATTCCCTCAGAGCTGAACGGGATTCCCTGAAGATCGAACGGGATTCTCTTCATGATGAGGTTGACATCTTAAAAATTGAGAAGAGTGTAGCTCTGACAGAAAGGGACTCTCTCAAAGCCGAAAAGGGAGACCTTCAGCGCTCATTCATTGCTGAACGGTTATCGAATGCGAATTCCCAAGAAAAACTTCTAAACGAACGGTCTTCCCTGATGAACATGATCGGCAGAGTCGAAGGGGGTATGAGAGCTCTCCTTGCTCGCTTTACCAAGACCAGTGCCATCCGTTATGCTGAAGGGTACAGAGACGGTTTTGTTGACCGTTCCCCTCCTGAAGGTGAATCAAGTTCTTGTGCTGGTCCTGATGAACTAGATGCTTCTCTGGACATCCACCCCCCAAACAATTATCAAAATCCACCATGCGACCCAGCTGAGAACATTTTTATTGAATGCATAGAGGTCACATCTTCAGGAATTGTCCCACCCTTTCATCCCCTGAACATTCTTCCTCTTTCTACCATCGTGTCCTCTTCCTCTGTTGCTGCCGACAGACCTATGCCCGCTGAGGGGGTGATTCATCTCGACTCCCCTTCTAAGGATGATGGGGCAGGTGAGGAGATCTCGATGGTCCAGAGGAAGATGGTGGCGAGAATGATAAGTCATAGCCTGGAGAAGATCAGAACTGACACCCAATAACAGTTTTTTTTTTTTTTTTTTTTTTTTTTTTTTTTTTTTTTTTTTTTTTTTTTTATGTATGGTACTACGTACCTTGAGGCCTTTTTGGTTATGAATGACAATGTTTTTGCTCAACATCACTTTCCTCCTTTGAGTTTTCTATTTTCAGCTTTGCAGTGTATTTTCACAAGTGCTTAACGTTCGGCCATGTCAACATTCTGTCATTTTCTTACTCATTTGTGAGCAAGTGTTTGGCGTTCGGCTTGAAGGGCCAGATGCCACTAACTTGCTGAATGCCTGGCGCTCGGCTTGAACGCCTCTTGCCACTTGGCTCTCTCTTTTTTTTTAAGCAAGTGTTTGGCGTTCGGCTTGAAATGCCAGTTGCCACTAACTTGCTGAATGCCTGGCGCTCGGCTTGAACGCCTCTTGCCACTTGGCTCTTTTTTTTTTTTTTTTTTTTTTAAGCAAGTGTTTGGCGTTCGGCTTGAAGTGCCAGCTGCCACTAACTTGCTGAATGCCTGGTGCTCGGCTTGAACGCCTCTTGCCACTTGGCTCTCTTTTTTTTTTTTTTAAGCAAGTGTTTGGCGTTCAGCTTGAAGTGCCAGCTGTCACTAACTTGTTGAATGCCTGGCGCTTGGCTTGAACGCCTCTTGCCACTTGGCTCTTTTTTTTTTTAAGTAAGTGTTTGGCGTTCGGCTTGAAGTGCCAGCTGCCACTAACTTGCTGAATGCCTGGCGCTCGGCTTGAACGCCTCTTGCCATTTGGCTCTTTTTTTTTTTTTTTTTTTTTTTTTAAGCAAGTGTTTGGCGTTCGGCTTGAAGTGCCAGCTGCCACTAACTTGCTGGATGCCTGGCGCTCGGCTTGAACGCCTCTTGCCACTTGGCTTTTTTTTTTTTTTTAAGCAAGTGTTTGGCGTTCGGCTTGAAGTGCCAGCTGCCACTAACTTGCTGAACGGGAAGAGTGTAAATTTTTATCAAAGAAGAGACTTTTTATAAAGCATGAAAATTTTGTACACTTGCAAGCATGCAGTTTAGAATGTACAATATGCTTGAAATTAAACTCTACTTTTACTAGTAGTACCTTTTCAAAGACGTAGCATTCCATGGCTTATTGACTACCCTTCCTGTCATAGTTTCTAGGACGTATGCCCCCTTCCCTATGACTTCTGCTATTCTGTACGGACCTTCCCATGGGGAGAACATCTTTTTGACTATTCCCACCTTCCTTTTCAGAACCAGATCGCCAAGAGCGAAACCTCTGTGCCTCACCTTTTTGTTATGGCTATTCACAAGCGTCTGTTGATAAGAGGCAAGCCTTACTGCAGCCGCATCCCTTTTTTCTTCCAACAAATCAAGATTGAACCTCAGCATTCTATCATTCTGCTCTTGATCCCACGCCAAGCTCCTTACAGTTGGTACCAAATGCTCGACTGGTATCACCGCCTCGGTGCCATAGGCCATAGCGAATGGGCTCTCTCCAGTTGGCCGTCTTGGGGTTGTTCTGTAAGCCCACAAGACGTTCGGTAGCTCATCTAACCATTTGCCTTTTTCATTCTCCAGCTTTTTCTTGATACAAGCAAATATTATCCTGTTTGTGATTTCGGCTTGACCATTAGCCTGGGGATGACTGACTGCTGCTAACTTCTGATTGATTCCATATTCCTCCAGCAGTTTTTTCACTTGCTTGCTATCGAGGTTGGTTCCATTGTCCATCACGATTAACCTTGGTACGCCAAAACGACAGATAATATTATTCCAGATGAAGCGTCTTACTTGAGTTTGGGTGACACTAGGGTACGGCTCTGCTTCTACCCATTTGGTGAAGTAATCAGTAGCTAGCAGAACGTACTTATTCTGCGATCTTGCAGTCGGCAAAGGGCCAACCACGTCCATCCCCCACTGCGCGAAAGGCCATGGGGTGGCCATTACGTGCAGGTCTTCAGGTGGTTGATGTATCAATGACCTGAACCTCTGGCATTTATCGCATCTTCTAGAGAATTCTTCTGCATCTCGTGCCATGTTTGGCCAGAAGTACCCTTGTGTCATTGCTTTGTGTGCTAAAGATCTCCCTCCAGAGTGATTTCCGCATACTCCTTCATGAATGGTTCGCATAATCTGTCTAGCTTCTGTAGGGGTAGCACACTTCAAATATGGACCTGAGAAGGAACGTCTATATAACTGATCATGCACAATGGCATACTTTGCTGCGCTGGACCTAATTCTTCTTGCCTCGTCCTTACGCTCGGGGAGTGTACCACTACGTATGTAAGCCATGATTGGATCAATCCAGCTCGGCTCATATGGTATAACATTAACATGTTGAGTGCTCGGATTAGGCAGTTCTTCAAAAATGGAAGGTTGGATCAGTATGTCGACCGGGATGACCCTAGCTAAAGTATCTCCAGAACTGGATGCACTACAAGCCAAGCGGTCGGCATCTTCGTTATACTCTCTCGGCAATTGGATAAACCTGATCTGATCAAAGGCTTTCGCCTCACGCAGAACCGCAGTTCGGTATGCTTCTATGGTCTCATCCTTGGCCCCATAGTCCCCATTGACTTGTCGAATGACTAGTTGTGAATCACTATAAGCCATCAGATTCTTGATCTTCAGTTCTTTAGCCAACTTCAGCCCAGCTATCAACGCCTCGTATTCTGCCTCATTGTTGGTCGCGTTGAACTCTAGTCTTATCGCTTGGCTCAGTGTAGTTCCTTCTGGTGTTTGCAATTGAATTCCAATCCCGGCTCCCATTTGATTCGAGGAGCCGTCCACGAAAAGCTTCCACCAGGAACAATTATAATCCTCCACCGTATCTTCAGCATCACAGTCAAGTAGGAAATCCGCCACCGCTTGACCTTTGATTACCGTCCTAGGCTCGTACGCGATATCAAATGAACTCAATTCAATTGCCCACTTGGTCACTCTCCCTGACAGGTCCGGTTTGTGCAGGATCATTCTCAGAGGGAAAGTTGTTAAAACGACGATTGGATGAGATTCAAAATAATGTCTAAGCTTCCTTTTTGCGTTAACCAGCGACAAGATCATTCGTTCGGCCCCAGAGTACCTTCTCTCTGGTTCAGACATTGTCTTGCTAACATAAAACACCGGGAATTGCTTGCCCTCTTTGCAACGGATCAGAACGGCACTGGTTGCTATACTGGACACCCCGAGATATAGAAAGAGTTTCTCATTCGGTTCTGGAGTAGACAGAACTGGAGGATTACGCATGTACTCCTTCAGGCTGGTTAGCGCCTGCCGTTGCTCATCCCCCCAGGTTTGTCTTCCGTGCCCTCGAATTGTATCAAAGAAAGGTTTACAGCGGTCCGAAAGCTTAGAAATAAATCGGCTCAGTGCCTCTTTAATTGTCTTTGGCTCTGCATTCCTGATCAAGGCTTCTGCCTATGCTGGGCTGACCTCAATTCCTCTATGATTGACCACATGTCCCAGGAATTGACCGGAGCTTACACCGAATGAGCATTTGGCCGGATTAAGCTTCATCCCATACTGGAACAACACATCGAACACATCTTACAGGTGCGCTAAATGATCGCTCTTCTTCTTACTCTTGACCACCATATCATCAATGTAAGCCTCGACAGTGCTGCCCATTTGGCCCTTAAAAATCTTGCTGATCAGCCTCTGATAAATAGCTCCAGCGTTTTTTAATCCGAATGGCATGATTTTATAGCAATAAGTCCCTCGTTCAGTAACAAATGAAGTTTTCTCTTCATCAACTGGGTCCATAGGAATTTGGTTATAACCGGAATAAGCATCCAGGAAAGTTAACCGCTCATATCCTGTGGTGGCATCTACCATTTGATCAATCCTGGGCAATGGGAAACTATCCTTTGGGCAGGCTTTATTTAGGTTGGTGAAGTCGATGCACACTCTCCATTTCCCATTCTTCTTCTGCACCACAACAACGTTAGAGAGCCAGGCTGGGTACTGAATTTCTCTGATGAATCCGGCTTCAATCAGCCGATCAACCTCCTTAGCTATAATCTGATTTCGTTCTGGAGCAAATCTTCTCTGCTTCTGCTTCACTGGCTTTGCATTCGGATCCACATTGAGGGAATGGCAGGATACAGCAGGATTTATCCTTGGCATATCTGAATGGCTCCATGCGAATACATCCGCATTCCGAATCAGGAAATTAGTCAACTCTAGTCTCTCTTCTTCAGTGAGTCTGGTTCCCACCCTTGTTGTTTGGTCTGGTTTCTCATGATCAATCTTTACTTCATGAAGGGGTTCTGTGGTCAGAATTGGTGGCTCCTCCCCCCCATCCTTGCTGGGAGGAGGGTTCTGTAATTGCTATTTTGGGATGGCTGTACGGATGGGATTTTTCCCTTTTCTAGCAGATTTCAAAGTTACTGAATAACATTCTTTAGCCGCAACCTAGTCCCCGTGTATATCTATCACCTTGGTCCCATCCAGACCCAAACATCGCATCATTTGATGTAAGGTTGACGGAACGCCCTGAATTCTGTGAATCCATCCTCTGCCCATCAAGAGGTTGTATGATGGATGAATTTCCACTACCACAAAACTTTCAGTCAAAACCCGCTCAGCGGCTTGTACTGTCAATTCCACTATTCCAATGGGTTCCACTCGCTTCCCATTAAATCCGAGCAACGGATTTCCTGTGGGTTTGAGTTTTTCGGGTTCGATCTCTAGTCGGTCGAACGTTACCCTGGTTATGACATTCGCACTACTTCCTGGATCAATCAGGACTCTTCGAACCAGGCATTCTGCAATCGTCAGACTGACGACTAGTGGATCTTCATGAGGAATCTGAACGCGTAGCAGGTCCGTTTTATCAAACTTTATCGACGTGGACGTGTTCTGCTGGTGCAAAGCACGCACACTACCAATTCTTCTTTTCAGCTGGGCCTGGCGTAACCTCGTTCTGAGCAACTCCTCTGACTCCATCGTTTGTTCAGGCCGGCCATGAATTACGTTTATAATCCGGACGGGCTGAGAGTTGTGTTGGTTTGCCTCTGGTTCCGCTTGATTTGTTCAGTCGGGCGGTTATGCTCTTGCGCCGGACCCTGAACATAGCTTGCAAACTCCCCTTTTGCGATCAACATCTTTACCTGCCTCCTTAGGTTCCTGCATTCGTTAGTCTGATGCCCAAAATCACTATGGAAAACACAATGTTTAGTGTGATCCCTCTGTTCAAGAGGTTGCCTGATCGGCAGAGGAGGACGAAACTTATCTTTGTTCTCCTGGTATAGCCTTGCTAAGGTGACTCTAAGTAGAGTGACTGATTCCTCCTCCCTGGGCCTCTTCTCCGCCTTCCATGAGGGGTGACATTGCGGTTGAGCTTGTGTTTGCCGGATCTTGGCTTTGGACTTCTCTTCCGTCGAAATAATTGACGTCTTCCTTGAATTAGCTGCTTCTTCCTCCTTAAGGCGAACAAAATCATTAGCTCTCTCGTTCAGTTCGTCCATTGTCTTTGGCGTATTAACCACCAAGCTGGTGTGGAACGGCGTCCCCAGACTGCTGTTGACAGGTGACACTCCATTACCATGCTTTTAACGAGGTTGAACTGGGTGAGAAAAGCTTGGAGCCGCTCATCCTCATGCTGCTTCATTGTAAAAAGGCTCGATACATCCTTAGCCGGATGCTTATTCCTGTAATACTGGCTTATGAACTTATCGCATAAGTCCTGGAAACTGACGATTGAGCCTTGAGCCAGATTCTTGAACCAATTGAGAGCTGGTCCAGCCAAGCTCGTAGGGAAACACTTGCACATCAAAGGATCATTATTAGTATTCAAAGCCATTTTCAACTGAATATGGTATATGTGATCGACCGGATCGGTTGTTCCGTCAAAAACAATAAAGATCGGCATGGAAAACTTCTTCAGATTCGGTGCATTCAGAATTTCATCAGTGAACGGCAATGCGACCGTCCTTGCTGAGGAATGCAATGCTTCGTTTTCTCTTAAAAATCGTGACGGAAATCCTTGATCGGCAGATCTCCTTTCTGAGCTATGGTGATCAACTGTCGCTAATGAAGGTCGGTATGGCGGATCGAATGACCTATACTCCGCAAATTCACTCCGCCATGGTGACGCAATCTTATGTTCATATACCGGTGCTTCCTCCCTCATAATCCGTTTGTGATGCGGTTCCAGAAGAACAGATCCTTCTCGGTCCTCTACTCGGCCAACATTCGGAGGCAGATTACCGATTATACCTTCATCACGATGTGGACCACCACGATTGACATCTTCTGGATCACCTTGACGATCAGCTTCGAACGGTAAAGCTCCCTCTCCTTCAAGAGGCAGCCTCGAAATTGCAGGAGTCTCGCGATGCTCCATTCCAGCTCGTAGCTCTGCATTTTCTTTCCTTAAAGCATCGATCATGTTCATTAGCTCATCGAGCTTCGTCTGCTGGCCGTTCTCCAAAGAATTCGAGTTCGCCTCTCCGATCATCATTCCAGATCGGAGCAAAGTCATCAACTGCAGGCTTCTTGATCAAATCGGAGTTTCGCTAACGCGCGCACACCAGATCTGAACTTACACTTGCTGAATTCGGTCCACTACTGGCCGGATTCAGTAATCATAACAGATCACAACCGCGTAGTCCGCCGGATCAAGCACGGATCTGATCTGCTTGAATCGGACGCTAATTTTCTGAAATCAACCGGAACCTGGACTCGTCAAGACAGATCGTATTATTACCAATGTTGATTCAGCTTTCGCAAAGTAAGTGGCAATTGGCACTATGAGCGGAACGCCAAACACTTGCTAAAAAATAATGAGAAAGCCAAGTGGCAAGTGGCATTCTAGCCTAGCGCCAGACACTTAAGCAAAATAAGTGGCAACTGGCACCACGATCCAAACGCCAAACACTTATTAAAAGTGATGAAAAAGACAAGTGGTTGGTGTTATGAGCCGAAGGCCACACACTTGTGTTAAACAAAAATTGTTATTAAGTGCTACCAAGTGATGCAGAGATTCAGATCAGATGTAGGAAAAAAAAAAAAAAATTCTTTCATTCATATTAAGCTGAAAGATTACAAAGAGATGCATAAGTTGGCTACAATCAAGATTTGTCTGTCTCCTCGTTCACTTGCTCACCCTCGGCAGCTTCCCCAGGATGGTTAGCATTTCCCTCCCCATCATTGGTAATGGCATCCCTGTGAGGGGGGAGTCAATCTGAATCACAACTTCATTCTACTGAGTTCTACCTTCAGTGGCAGTCACAAGGGGAGCCACAGTAGAGAAAGGAGGTATGTCTAAAGGTTGAGTGGAAGGAGGAACAGGGATAACTCCAGATGAGGCAATCCCATCACATTCTTCAAAAATGTGCTCGGCAGGAGTGGGGTCTGGATTAGCATAGACTCCTGGAGGATCAATTCCCAACTCCTTGTCAACATCATCCGGGCTTATGCCTGAGACTGTCTAACCCTCAGCTGGAAGGCGATCGTTGAAACCTTTTCGGTATCCTTCAGCATACCTGAGGGCCCTCGCGTAGGAGAAACGGCTGTGTAGAGTCATCATCCCTCCATTGACTCTGCCGATGACACTGAGCAGGGCATTACGCTCATCCAGAGTCCTCTTTCAAAGGCCATACGCTCTGCTTGTTCATCATGAAGCAGGGGCTGAAGATTGTCTCTTTCGGCTTTGAGCGCTTCACGATCGATCTGCCAGATACTCTTCTCGATCAGAATGGCGTCTTTTTCGTCTTGAAAGGAGTCTGTTTCCTTCTTCAGACCATCCCTTTCCTTCTCAGCCTTTTCCAGCTGCACCATGAGTTCAACATTTTTGGTGTTGATGATCTTGTTCTCTTTATGACCCACCTCAGCGTCTTTGGCGAACTTTCGTACCTTAGCATTGGCAGCCTCGACATGCTTTTGCATGGCCATCATGCCAAAAAGAGTCTGTAAAATAATACATGAGTACTAATTAAGCCGAACGCATGTCTGGAGGAACTATAATGTAAAGACATTTTAAATGCAACAAAGAGAAGGGTTGGAAATTACCCCCATAGTTGCAAGGGGAAAACGGCTGAAGACCTCCTTCTGAGACAGATATTTGGCAACCTCAATGTCTTTGGGAGACCACATGTTCTTGTAGTAAGCTATGGCTGTTGGACCTTCCCTGAACATGGTCTCGCTCGGCTTCACTACCGATCCGTCAGCTCGGACTAGTTTGGGGGTCCACGGAGCCTCTCCAGAGGAGGAGCCAGTGACATTGCCGGACTTGGAAGGAGCAG